TTTGGTTTCTGGAAGTAGATATCAAATCTATATTATATGACCTACATACAAAACGGATATAAAATATATACTTTTTTTATTCAATGTGGATTTTCCTTTTTAATCTTTAACATTTTTGTAAATGTTAATCTTAAAGGAACAGCAATTTTAGTAAATTCTTCAAATAACCAAATGTAATATTACATTCAAATCAAATGTAAACTATTTTATCTGAAACACAAATAACTAAGACAATGAAATTTTGCATGACAGTTGAATTTTTGTGAACTGAAAATGTATGCAATAAAATTATGGGATTTTACTGATATTCACTTTAAAACATTCTTGTGCACTTTATTATCACTTTTCTCAGGGGGATAAATTAGTTCTTGAAATTGTTAAGTCGGAGAGTTGTTGGACATGTTCATGACAGATGCAGAGAAAGTACTATTCTCTGCTAAGCTGAATTAATTCTTTCTTGCATTAATATCTTAAATTTTTCATTTTTATAGCTTAAGAATTTTGTCAACTCATTATCACAGTAAATTATATAAATATATTTCTAATAGCTATAAGAGCTATTTAAATGAATCTCCCCCCTCTCTTTTAAAGGGAATAATATTGAAAATTTTGTGTTTTTGAAGACCTAACCAATGAAACAATTAGACCATCTTTGAATCTTGTAAAATTTGTGCAAATTTAATTACTAGTTTTCTGGAAAACAGGACTTTAAAAACAAATTATTGAATAATAAAACAATTTATAAATATGTATTTGAAAGTGATTTTTTGAACAAAATTGAAATCTTTAAATAAAAATTTCAAATGCTTCTTTAATGTTACATTTACACTACACTCTCTTAAGTAACCTAGCAACTATTACTTCATTGAAAATAGTAATACATGCTCAAGCATCTCCAATTTTGTTACTGCATTGCCTAAGCCATTGCTTTAGTTAAATTTGAAGGGAAAATTTTCATTTGAAAATTTTATTTTAGCATTAAAAATTTCTTCTCAATTTCTTATATATTATTACTTGTTGACTGCTAACTACATGTTATCTCATAAAACATATCTGGATGCTCTTATAACTTATCAGAGTATTATAACATGGAGCTGTAATTCCATAAAATTAAAAGCCTAATATTTTTACAGCTCCTATGGAGCTGCAATTTTCAATTGAAGCAATTACATATATTTATAAATACAACCAGTAAATGCATTTGAAACTTTTTCATCATATATTATTACTGAGAAATGCACAGTTTGGGGTCAAGACATCACTTATATATTTTACAGATATTTCTGATCCTGATACCACAGATGAGATATCATTAGCACACAGTAGGCATAAGCAGCCTAATTTCAAATTTAGCAACAAAAAGATAAATAGCTGTAAGTAATCAACATGTATCTGTGAAAGTTCTCTTTATCCCAAGAGGTCTTAAGAATTTAAGGGTTCATAAAACCAGGAAATAGACTAATTGAATTGAGAGCTATTATACTATGCATTTCATCCACCTATTTCACAATTTATCGTTGAAAAGTTTTCAAAATGTTTAAATAGTTTTCACTTTTCCATTTTAAATGGTTAACAAATCTTTAGTGTTTTTATTTGGAAGCTTTAAATATTTTATTTTTACAGTTACTCTAATAAAAGTGGTTATTCACTTTCATCTTCAACCAAGTTATTATTGTTATTTCATTTATAGTGCTTACAATTGAGTAGTTGTGCTAAATACGGATAACCGACAAAATTCCAAAAATCGTTATTATTGTAAAAAAGTAATTAAGCCAGGACTATATAAACTTGGTTCAGCTCAAAATCATTGGGAAAGATTTTTTTCGCTCTGAAAGTTGGGCTTCCAGCAAAAGTGATCTAAACAGACTCTCCGGATTCAACCTCTAACAAAGAGGGTGAATACTAACCTGTCTTTTGTATCGCTTTGTATTGTCTACAGAGAGATTAGAAAAAGATAAATATTGAGGTATGGAAGGTTAATAGAAATGAGATCTGCTGGACATTTCTACAAAAACAGCGCCGGCCATTTAATACCAAGAAAATGTGCATCTGTAAACATAGTGGAATAGTGATCTAATAGTTTTCTGTATAACATATACTATTTTGAGAAATTTCTAAATATGATGAATAGGGGGCGGATTTTAATGCAATTATTTTTTTTCCTTTTCAGTTTAGAACTTCACATTTAGAGTAGATATTAATTTTATGTTATGGCAAAATGAAATGACCCATTTTTTGCAGCATGTTTTGTTGATTTTAACTAATAAGTCATTGTTTACCTTTTACGCTTATTTCATTGATTTTAATACCATTTTAACGGTACTTGCTTCAAATAAAATTTACGAGATGCAACAAATAGTTCTTCACAGAATTCCTGAGTAGCCTATTCAATATCTTCGCTCAGAAATTTTTTTGTCAGCCATTGTATGTAATCTAAGGTTCCACTAACGCCTATCAGCACCATTGTAGGTTCAGCCAATTTTGGAATAAACTACAGCCAGAGATTTCCTGGTAAAGAACAGTCCAAACCAAAAGTTTGAAAGCTGAATTCCCTTGAATGTATAGAAGCAGCATCGATTACTCAGTAACATATCCAAAAGCTTGAGTTGTTTATCCGAACTGGTTTGATCCCTTTTTTATGTCATTTTTCTTTTCATTTAGGGCATTTTAAGAGCATTTAGTGATAATTTTTTGTGATGCTTTATGTCATCAAAATCTACCCCCTAATGATGAATAAATAGGAAGTATAAATTGCTATTATAGTAAAATACAAATCACTATTCTTTGGTACTATACTAATGTTCACCGATGCCAGCATAAGTAGAGCAGTATTTCGGAAGATATAAACATGAAGTTGCTGGAAAAAAAGGTTTTTGCTGATTTGGTCTCTCTTCTGGGCAACTACTCAATTGATCACCATCGGCTGTAGATTGTAGTTATTGTAAAATAATGGGGAGAGTAACTTCACATTTCAAAATGTCTATAAACCTTTATGAATCTGGGAAAATAATATTATTATATTAGAATATTTTAAAAATCTGGATTAATTTTATGGAAGGTATTTTGTCTATGCAAAATATTAAACAAAAGTAAAAATAGAAATGAAAATGTGAATAACCTTTTGACACAATGCCCTCCTAAGTGCATGTTAATTTAAGAATAGATAAAATTCTTTTATACATCTCTTATATTTAGTGAAAAATTCATTGAACATCTGTGGTACTACAGCTGAACCCAATACATCAAAAAAACTTATTTTTCATTTGTAATGCAACATATACAGTCAAAGAACATGATGGCAAACCTAATATGGTTCTGAAGCTTCCATTAAAATCTAGGTCCATAAAATAAATTTCCAATATGTTTCTCATATTGCAGTTTGACTATAATTAAACATCTGTGAGAATTTGGCAGAATTCATTTTCCAGAAGGGAAAAGGCAGGTGTTTGAGATACACTTAAATTAATTTTGTCATGTTATTGCAGATAAAAATCTTAATTTTGAGAAGCATCTCCTAAAAAAATCAACATTTTAGACATTGGGTTTTGTCTTAATACCACAGATCTGATATGCAGTCTGAGACTAAATGTAACAAGGCATTTAGAGGGGTCAAAGACAATTACTTTTTGCCAATAGTTGTGGTGGAGTACTTCATAATGAAGTTACACTTGTGACATGTACCCCTGTTGTAGTCGGTAGGCAACTTCTGGTACTTTGCAGGTACTCAATCTCTCTTTGACTATGTCAGAACATGCACCTATCAAATACCTGAGTACTTTGAATTGCCTACAAATAGGGGGGAAATGTATAGTATCTATCATCTGCAAAATTGCCACAAGTTTTGTGTGTATTATCTTTCTCAGGTAATACAGAAAATTAAGTTGTCCCCATCATAAAATGAAAATTTAAATTTTGCAGTCAGTTCTTGACAATAAAAAAATAATAATCCACCGGACATCATTAGTAATATGTGCATGTGCTTCCCTCTGTCTTATATATTTGCACCTCTGTGGAATAGACAAGTCATAGAAAGGTGTCAATGAAAGTAGGCTTACAGTTAAAACATGAGAAGTATTGGGAGTGCTCAACCAAAGACTGTTGAAAGGGAGAATAGTGGAGTTATTAAGTTCTCGCAAATCATTCTATTTAAGGAAATAACTGAATTTGGATGTTTTATTTGCCTGAGAGATGAATGCATTCACAGTTCATATAAATAAAAACATTTAGTCCGCAAATAATTTTGTTTGAAAATACATTGTAATAATATGTAGCCTTGTCTACAAAACTGTATTCTGCAGATCCGAGAATCAAGAGAAAATTTATTATTCACTTTTCAATTTTTTAATTCTTTCTGTTATTAAATATTATTCAAATACTTTTTTCTTTGTTCAAGTTAGCTTTGTACTTTTACACATTTTATAAGTTTTATACTTAAAAAATAAAACTTGATGTTTTTTACTGTATTTCTGGTCATTTGAATGCAATTTGTTATTGTTTTGTTGTACCACTTCCTTGAATCTCAACAGAAACAAATTTAGTGGTTCTAGAACATTACACAAAATTATTGTGAACTGATGCACCTTTAATATACTTTTATTATAGATACTATAAAACTTTCACACCCATTTTCACATAATGAGCAGAAGCAACAAATGCACAGGCAAAATACAAATTAAAAACAATCAAAAACCAATATAAAACTACATTTCATATTATTTCTCAGAACAGAAACATATAAAAGTAGTCAAAACAGAAACAAAAAGATGAATATACACAACTTAAATATCATTATTAATGAGGGACAATCTTCTATGTGACGGAATTGGTGATTTTTACATTTTGGCATCAATGTTCAGAATTTGCTTGTTCTTTAGTTTGATAAGAATATTTTCAAAGAAAACTAAAAATTGTGTCTTAAAATAGAAAGTAAAAACCTTCTATATGACCTTTAGTTTACTGATAATAGAATATCGTATGTGATAAGAGCCACATGGGAAGTTTTCCTAAGATACTTTCAGAAAAATATTACAATACATAAATATTTTATACTATTATATAGAAAGTGTAGAATGTCTAAACTTAGCCAACTGTACATTAATAACAACAAAAAGTGTTTTACCTTCCTCCTATAAAAGTTTGCTGTTGTATTTTCCATATAGAAGGTTGTCTACCATCAACAATGATATGGTAAACTACCATCTACATCACAATAAGCATACATTTCAAGCACTATTGTAAATCATTAAAATCCAATACTATCAAAATTTTGTTAAAAAAAGACCAAAGTAAATTTCACCGGAAAAATTTGGAGCCAATCTTCAGAAAATTTAGAAAAATCTCTTGATGCTACAACACACTTAAAGCTGTGAACTGAATCCAAAAGGGTGCCCAGTTTTCTAGATGCCAACAAACACAATTCTGGTGGACAAGAAGAGATGTTTACTCAGACCTTGTAATGTCCTGATAAGTCAAAATCTGTACACCTTGACCCATTACATAACTTTACAAATGGGTACATTAATCAAAATAAAGATTTGTCTATAAATTATTATTCAAGCCAGAGTTAACAATTTATTAAATACTCATTTTTGAAGAATATATAGATATATATAAGTGTACATTTTTAAATTGGATTGAATGTTCTACATTGCTATTAAAACAAAAGCAGTGAGGAAAAGTAGAGATGAGAACCTTCAAGATTAAAGCCAAAATTTCTAATTTTTGTTCAAACTAGTAGTGATTGTGGAAACATGAAAATACTAGATACATAGATATTTGTTTTGAAGGAAAAGTTAACATGCCTTGGAAGATGGATTTACACATTCAATACTAAAAAATGCTTAAAGAGACACGCAAAAATAATCAAAGAAAGACATAGCCTTTATCGCAGATAGAAATATCAGTTACTTAGTAATGGACTGTTCCCAACAACAAACAGGTGTCAATCAGTGCTACTGTCACAATATCCTTTTAACATTATATGCCAATCATACGATCAAATAATGAAAAAGGGTATAAAGCTCTACAAAAACCAAAAGATCCAAATAATTATCTCTGCAGACAATGTAGACATACTAACAAAGCCCAAAATGAACAACAAAAAGGCTAAATAAAGATAAGTAAATTATGTTATGAAAATTTCCACAAACAACAAAAAAGCCATGGATTATCGAGAAAAATTTACGAGAAGTTAAAATTGTTCTTCACACATAAGGCAAGTCTGTAAGTTCACTACATATGCAATATCACTGGAAGTAGATCTGAGGACCTAGAAAACAAAATCCGGAAATACCACAAAAGAAATGGAATAATCAAACATTATTGAAGAGATACATGCCAAGAAATCAAGTTAGGAATACATAATGTGCCTTAAAAACCAATACTCATATATGGATCAGAAATCTAAACAATGAAAAACAGTCAACATCAAAGACCGGAAGTCACACACATGATATTTTCATATGTCATCTTGTGGGAGTCACCTTAAGCCACTTCACTTGTCACAAATTCAATAAAAAGCAGTAATTTCAAGCTCTAAAATCAATCAGATTGTAAATCCTCAAAAATTACATTAGAGAAAATATGACTAACTAGTAATGTACCTAAGGTGTTCTTGTGAGCTACAGATGAGAAAACCAAATCTATTAAAACTGAACAAACAAAAAGATACTAGTATATATTATTTTCTAACTGTCAATTTCTTCTATAATAACACAAATAACCTATAAATTTACTTTACTCTCCTACGAGTAACTGACAGGCAAACATTATAAAATTACAAATATTAACATTATATAAAATTACAAAATAATTCATAGAAATTGAGAAATCATCAATGTTACTTTCTACTTTCTCAAACAATACTGTGAAGTAGAGAAAGAAATGTAATGCTGCACTGAAAAGTGACAATTTTTCCATTCAAATACTCATAATTTAGGTTTCTAATTCAGACGGTTGATTCTTCTTGCTCTTATATGTACTACAATCCATTCTCTAATACATTTGGGTAGTCAGAACCGATATTTTGTGAGTTCTTGATACTGAATAAGTGTATTTCAGCATAACATTCATCCTTTTGTCGGTCTCTGAACAACAATGCTAGTGTCTAAATTGAACATTCGATTTTCACCAAATTTAATATTCCCGAATCGCTCTGGCTGATGTCACAGGCCCTTGAATTCAAAATTGATATTTTGATATCTTGACATTTTCAAAAACGGCTCTGATTTTCTTTAATTTTTTTAATAGAATGTTTCAAAATACACCTATAAAAATGGAGCAGGTATGATTTTTGTTGATAAATTTCTTTTCCTGAAATTGAAAATAGAACTGTTTATACCAATAATTTGACCCAATAATTTGACTCTGGCTTCACAAATGTTACTTCAGTGGGTTAAAATATCACATGTACAAGTACCTAGGTTGGTGCCACCAATTATTGAAATATACGAAAACAACCCCACAACAGAATTCCCTAGTCCAAAAATTGCTTACTACTTGAACACGTGCCACATGACCAATTTATATTACTTTATTTTATTTCGTGGGCTTACCAGAAAAGGTAAATCCAAAATGATGGAACTAGAGACCTGCAGATGAAAACTACATTTTTGTGCTCGTTGTTTTTTTTTTTTTTTTTTTTTTTTTTTTTTTTTTTTTTTTTTTTTTTTTTTTTTTTACTTAATGAAATTAATAGAATTTACTTAGCAATGAAGCCTTCATAAATATCTTTCCACAGAATACTCTCTGCAGATCTCTAGTTCCATGGTTTTGGACTTCATACCTGTTTCTTGTAAGCTCACAATTTATACAATAAATAGATTTCACCAAATAAGTTGGATTAGGGAAATTAATAATACATATCTGGTGTGTCTGACTTTGGTTTATTAAAAAATAAGTTATACAAAATACCATCGGATATTCATTGAAATAAACATATACTATATAACAATAATTCATTAAAAACAATCAACAACAATAACAGTAACTTATCAATCATTTAGATGTCCATTTTATCGCTCTTACACAGTAAAATTGTTCATAAAAGAAGTTAGGAACAAAAAAATATTCAAAACATTCTTTTTTGGACTATATAAAACACACAGGCAAGAAAAAATGCAAATGCAAAGAGAAGTAGTAATTTGTCGGTAAATTCTCGTCTTCCATATTTTGAGAGCAATTTACCTGACTGAGATATAACACTACCCATTGTATTCATTTCTTCTTGGGCACTGTCAACAGCATTGGATGAAGTGACTGCAAAAAGAATTTTAGTTAATCTGATTTATTACATATATTTGAATGATGTTTCTGTAAATAAAAACATAATTAAGAATTCAATGATTATAGCATAAGTGAATTCAGTACTAACAGCATGGACAAAAAGTCACACTCATTCATTCCCACTACATTTGGTATGGACTATTGCTGTATCTTCTTCTCTCTTTTTTCCAATCTAGCAATTGCTCACTAAATTAGTTAGTTAATCCATGAAGTGCCAATTCTTTTTTCTTTCTAAAATTATGTATGAGAAGAATTAAACAAACCTAAATAGCACATTTTATGTAATTTTCAAATCATCATTTTTCAGAACCATAAACATGGCTAATATTTTTGTTAATTAAATAAGCAAGGGAAGCATTGAAAACCAATGGCTTTTGTTTGATCTTGCAAGTAGTATTAATTCACACTGCTTCACTTGGACTCTTCAAGCATAGATGTGTGCCTACATAACTACCATCTTGGATCACCCTCCTATATCTGGACACTACAGAAAGCTGATAGGCTTTGATAGGCAAATTACTTTTATTGCTTGGCAAAGTGCAAAAGACCTTGTGTATCATTACCACTTACTATTTATTCTAGGACTTATTTGTCAAGAGCCTCTATTATAGTTCTAGCAAACAACATTCAGTACCCCTTCTTAGTTATTTCACCACAAACTAATTTTCCTACCTGCTAATCAAGAAAGTCAATTCTTATCATATGCGACTTTAGAAGACCAGATTGTGGTACTTTTGGATTTTTCCTTTGAGGGCCTGTCTTGCATGGATGAAGTAGTATAAAGAGTCAATGACATCAAAACTGGTACCAATGACAAAGCACTTAATATTGATTCATTGAAACTGAACATTCAATATATCACCATTGCTGTCAGGTCTGTAGTTGAAACTACCCTTTCCTTTTTTCTCCAGTTCCTTTATACTGTTCATTAGACAATATTTAACACAATATTCTTGACAATATTTAACAGGATAGCCCTATTGGCATGAAAAGAAAGATTTTGCGAATTATAATATGAAAAATATTTTAAAAAAATAAAATGAATGAGAAGAGTTTATAATTGCAACATTCCAATAAAAGGAAATGCATAGACTGAGATAAGCAAATTATATCATTACATACCAGCATCCGATTTAGAGGACATCCATTTCAAATAAAATTAAAAATGACATTAGATTATAATCTGAGAGTGTTTTAAAAGAGGCATCTTTGATATTATGAACAAAATACTGAAATACTATTCAATTAGAAAGTGAAAATGAAAAAAACACAACAAACTAATGCAAACTTGTATGATGCAGCATTACATTCAAAACATGACATTATTAATTCTCTACAAAAAGTACTAATTATATTTTTCATAAAATTCAATATTTCACAGTATTTACTATAATAACATGAATTATTTGTTTAAAGAACATTTTGGCTACTAAAAATATGAAGTAAATCATTACTCTCTTAATAGGATGCTGGGACACAACAGATTAATAATGATTTTCATAAATATATCTGTAATCTACATTAAGTACAAGTTGTGATCATTATTTTTGAAATATGTACCATGATGAAATATGTACAATTCTTCTTCCTTTTCATTCAACAATTGTAGAACTGTCACACAAATTGATCTAAGTGCCGAAAATTCAGATTTCCTTTTTTTTTTTAAACTCAAAGTGATGTAATTGCCAAGGCCAATGCAGTGCTATTGGCTCTAAAACTCAAAACTTTCCATTTAGATACATGTTACAAAGCGAGGTGCACTCTGTATTTATCATGTGTGAATCTCAGATGTTTTTTCCAGAAATACAGAATAAAGAAATAATGGGAAAATGGAATGCATTTGTAAAGCATGTGAAATACTAATAACTACAGGTGTGAAAATTCTCTTACCTAACGTTCCTAAAGTATCTGCACTTCTCTGTGTTGTTTCTGAGAGATGTCTACTAATGGAGCGTAACTGTTCTGTAACATCACTAGACATCTTGACCAATCCTTCCTTATCTTTTCTTTGCCTATAGTTATATAAATAATAATCAGCAATATAGACGAAGTTATTAAGAAACTTATAAAATAACAATTACTTTATGACAATATGTAAGGAAAAATCTTTACATTCATACAAAAATTTTAAATTATACATCACAACATTTACATTTGCAAGGGGCATTTAAGTCATATACACTAAATAGGTTAGTAACATACTGCAGATATTAACAACAAACATTTAGACATGGAAAGGAAAGGTCTCCAAATATTGGTATTATTATTGTGGTATTTTTGTTCCCTTTCGGCATATTATTATTAATTCATAATGTCTGCAATGTTCTTTTCACATGGACCAGAAAGAATGAATTACAAAGAGTTGATAGTGTAGTGTCTTAGGTACGCATTACTTCAAAATTAACCTTCAAGTCACTGAGACCAACCTGTGAAAAAGGTATGTTGTAGTTTTTGAAATTATTTATTTTAATTCTCTGAAATGCAGGAAATTAATGTACTAGAAATATCTTTACAGTACATTTAATATCAATGAATCAGCAATGCAGAACGTAATTTAATTTTGCAAATGATGAAATAAATGTTTTGCAATGATGTTGCAGGACTAATGAAAGCCCTTGACTTCAAATACTATCAACATAAGTGGCGTCTTTACAAAAGCCTATCTTGCTGACATATTTTCTCTCCTTCAAGATGCAAAAATACAATCTTGAGTATAATGGTCCTCAGATCAATGCATTCTACCAAGTGAACGCACTTCCAAATGTGCCAGGAATCACCTTTAAAGGCTTCCTTAATGTGAAGTTAGATTACTCAAGTGTAATACACAATCTTATTAGTCCTTGAATTCTCATTTAAATTCTATAGGAAATATTAAATACAAAATTGAATTTCAGTTAATCTACTGACAAGAAAACTGCAATTAAATTTGGGTTCAACTTTGAAATTGGTTTACAACTTTGCAATTTTTTTTCTCCAGAAGTAGAAAAACATTTAGTAGCACAATGATGTCAGTGAAATGTTAATATTTAATAATGAGGAATAACGTACATATAATTAAAGTAGAATATTCTTGCAAAAGGATTTCACAAATACATATATAAATGACAATAAAATTCTATTAATAAAAACAAATTTTAACTCATTTTTGTTTTGTTCTTTATACCTGTGACGTAAATTTGCTTCATCCATAATAATGTCGAAGAGTTCTTGTTTGTTGGACTTCTCAATGTTTAAAATACATGCCACATTTGCTTTCCTAAAGGCACTGAGAGTGCTGCAAATAAAAATAATTCTTACACTACACAGACATGTTATAACAAATACCTAACAAAAATTTTATGTTTTATCAACATACTTAGTAACTTCATTAAAATTGAAGGAGGTGCAAAAGACACATTCTGGCAAGGACGCAACACAAGGCACATGAGTTATGAGTATTATTTTACCAACTTTTTTAAATACAATAAACAAATAAAACAATCACAATCTCTAAAACGATAAGATTTGTCTGCCTTCACTAGATTTGAAATAAAGTTTAAATCATCCAAATTAAGCAGTTTTAAAATTATTTAAAACAAAATTAAAATAAAAAATATTAATTACTTCATAGAAAGTAAAAAAATCTTAAAATAGCATAGCGAATAGAATTAATATTGATGACTCAATCTATGAACTATGCAATTTTCTTATTATCAATAAACAGATCCTGAAGAATACATAACTAAGAAATCAAATAAATTAAAAATACTAATTCAAAATTATGTATTACATGTAGGAATCAAGAATTTTAACTGAGCCTTACTACAGTAACCTCAAAAACTTTGAATAAGCCACAATGGATATAAAATTTTACCTTGTTAACTGCTGTCTATAGTTTTCAACCTCTGCTAATAATTGCGATTTTGTATTTTCTGTGTCTTGTTCTTTTGCAAGTATTTCAAGTCGATCAATATGTTTACGTAGAGCTGCTATTTTACCCCGACCTTCACTATTCATTTCATTTAACACTTCTCGGGGACCCGCACAGGTTTGGATGTCCTGATGTCAAATAGAAAATAATGATACAAATGTAAATTTGTAATATAGCAATATAACAATTTACGAACGTGTTTTATAACTTGCCTGTATTAGAGCTTTCACCACTAAATTGAGATTGACGATTTCTTTTCTTTCCATTTCAATAAAACAATTGTCACTTCCATTTTTATTGGGTTTTCCTAATATTACTGACATGCTGATGTCAATTGAGTGACAGTAACTTGTATTTCCACCACACCACAACAACCACTTCGCACGCTTTCGCTTTCTTGTCAAGTCAACCTGTACTCTAATTTAAATATAGTGTCTTCTGATACATAATAAAGAGGACCGAATTCTCCAATCGAGAGCTTCGTAACGATTGTATTTTTTATATAAAAGCTTTCGATTGGACAGCTGATTGATTATCAGAAGTCATTATACTTAAGTTGGATAGTATGCTACGTAATCGAATATCCATATAAAGCGATGTGGTTTTGTTCTTCAATGTTGCCAATCGTGCAAAATAAAATGGTTTATACACAGGTTTCAACGTTTAATCAGAGCGTTTAATTAACTATTTTTTAATTGAGTTTTCTAAACATATGATTGAATTATTTTAATATATGTAATAAAAATATACCTAGGGGACTTTTGCGAGGTGCAACGGACATTGGCTAGATGCGAGGGTGAATTGTTATTTTGTCCGTAATATCTGATTCAAATATGTTTAGTCCCATTTGTTATTAATGAAACGCGCAGCTAGGGCCTCAACAAAACGAAAGGAAGAAAATATCACAGTATTATTAAAAGAGTTTAATAATAAATTTTCGTGTAACAAACGAAACCCAAACCTCGGCAACTACGTTACACTCCAAATAACTAATGTTCTAGGAAAAGCATACGCGCACACAAGAACCATATGCACTGTCCCATCAAACGTAATGTCGTCCCTCCATATTATGTATATACAACCATATATTGTCGACTTTTTAAATATTAATTTTATGACATCATTTGTATTATTACTTTCTTTCTACGGAGTTCAGAGAAAGTTATGCAATGCTGCGCGAAAAAACGGCCAATTTTCGGAAGAAAAACTCTTATTTCAAGACCCTGGTAACGAAAAAGTGGATAAATCGAGTTATTAAGTTTAGAAAAAACATATTACACGGGGTGTAGACAGAATCCATGTTGTGCGCATCTTTGCCGAAAAGGCGATTGACAGAAAAACGTGTCCTCTGTCTGTGAACAACGCTAGCGGCTAAACCATTCAGCCGATTTCTCCAAAATTTATATAGCTTAATCGATCTGGCTAATGTCACGGTCTCTTCAATTTGAAACCGATATTTTAATTTTGAGAGGTACTTTACACCAAGCCACTGGGACATTTTTCAAAATTTTGAAAAAAAAAAATAGATCCATTGTTTTTTATTTCGTTTTATTGGCAGATAGTGTGAAGTACGTTTAAGAGAATGGCGTAAGACTCATGTTCGTTGAAAACCCTGAATTTTCGATAATTGCAAAAGTTCAAAATATTTTTGGGGTCTTCCTATAAGTAAAATATTAAAAATAGAGATTTTTTTCTCGTAATGTAATCTGTTTCTTCAAGATAGATTTTGATATAAGATCATGAACAATTTTTCGATTTTTTTTTAGACTTTTCGAGAAATTTTGCAAGCACGGGCGAGAAAATACGTGCTGTTTTAGCACCACTAGTTACTATTATATTGTCATCTCTAAGATAAATACTACCTACATTAATATTTAATAATCGTTTGAAAAAACAAGAATGTTCCTAAATACAGTCCTAAAAATGATGATTTGATAACCATTTTACGAAAAGGGAACAGTTGATTTGGTGAGCTACGTAATATTGGACTTTACGTTTCCCAATGAAGATCTTGGAGGTCAACAAAATCTTGGTAGCTTATACATACACTGAAGTTGGATTTATTCAACACTTTCAGGCAAAGCATGTGAATGACAATCTAATTATTGTGAGAACTTTGTCAAAAAATATTTTGAGTGGGTTGATTATATTATTGTTATTCGATTGCAGATGAAAATTTGAGAATGACAAGAAAATGTTTAGATGTTTGGATTGCGGTTTACGAAGATGGCAGTACATATAAGTGGCCACAGATGACCTTAAATAACCATGTGATAACTTTTCTCGCTTCAAAGGCTCAAAGCAAAAATATACTTTTGCTATCTTTGTTCCGAGGGTACTACAGTTTTACTTTCTTGAGTTCTAGAAAGAAAGTAGGAAATCTAAAAAAGCTTTCCCTATCTCTCCCGCTCCGTCTTTCCACTGTCCACTACCGCATACCACATGTTTATCGTGAAAATTCAACTTCATTTTGGAGAAAAAGTAACTTCTCATTCCGAGAAAGTGTACATACACAAAAGCAAAACATTTTTAAATCTTTAAAGGCTTAAGAAAGAGGAAAACCTCCATCGAAGAAAGACATCAATGCACTAAAAGAAAATCGACAAATCGACACATGTACTATAGTACTTGCACGTACGTACGATTCCGCGTAAACCCGCGGCTTTTAACTAATAACATTTGCCACCCAGGGCAATAGTGCTGCCCCACAAGCCCTTTAAATCACGCGTTCTAGACTTTTCTAGTGTCGGGAACATAATGCATCTAGTTTTCAAATGCTGCTAACTACGCTTTTTGGTCCTTCATTCCAAATTCAACTGTAAAGTACAAAAGTGGAACTGTAAGTGGGGTTCTGGAACTCGAGAACATGAGCGCGTATTATGTACGCATGCGAACATGTGCGCATCCCCTTCGTACGCCCCTCAAAAATCACTTGAATAGCAATTTAATTGCGGGCGGCCTCTTTCTTGGAGCCTTGCTGTTACATGACGTACGCTGTGCCATAAGCAGTGATTCACCAGGTATGAGAATAAGCGCTGTATGAGAACAGGTGGAAAAACACAAACACATATTTTCAATCAAAATAGAAACTGTTTTATTGTTTTTAGATTTTTCCCGAGTTCCTGGGTATCTAATAAAACCAGAGAATCTTTCACACTGCCGGAGGCTGCATAGATATCTCTCAATTTCTGCGTGAATTTGAAATTAATAATATAGTATATTTTAGATTTTCTATGTTACTACGTTTCTTTGTCAGTTAAAATATACGATTTATAAATGGATATAATATTTAAAATTATATTTGTAAATAAATATAATATGCGCGATAAATTTCCCAGAAGAAGATTTTGAAATGTATTTGACATTGAGTGTCACAACTACAACTAATTTTGAAACAAAACTGATTCTATAAAGAAAATAAAAGTATGTCTCAAATATAAAAAAAAAAATAATAATAACACGACTACAATCGTAATATTTTTCTTTTTTGTGGTTTCTTTATACTTGCAGTCATCTGTTTGCCATATGCCAGTAGTGTCACAGTGTCATTGTCTTGGCAACGCAAGTACATTACCCTTTTCAATTTACCTGAAATTTAAAATATGGATATTCTTTTATAAAGTACGAAAAAAACAACAACACAGAATCGGACACCTATGAAGCACCGTGCATTCTGATTATCTGGTAGCAAGTAACAAAAACCGTTTCCGTTTCGGCGGAGCGAGACTGATGAACGTGAGCATTGTCGCCTCGCTGTTATGTAGCTCCAATCGCGTCGCACGAGGCAGACAAGTAAATCAAATTGATGGCATTTCGCAATTTGTTCCCGAACACTTCCTCCTTCCTTCGCAGGCCTACAAAGCTCTACATGTGCGCTCACCTCACGGCCAGTGGGACTGGAGCGGCATCGGGTGGAATGGCGGTCGACATGATTCGGAACTTCATTTTGTTGGTAAGATGTTCGATTGACGATACCAGACTCCCGTGTTAGCGGGACAGTCCTTTTTGGAGTGTGTATCAGTTGTTTTGAAGGGAAAACGGTTTGCCATAATATAATTGTTTTTGTGGCAATATCTTGTCGGATAAATTGATGTCAACAGTGTTAAATTTACAATATGCACTGCCTTCACTTGTGTCATTTGATGTCACATTGTGTTAGTTGATGAAAAATTTAAAAATAACTGACAACTTTTCTTTTCAAATTAAAATTAGTTTTATTTTTAGTTACCATACGTTACATTTTGTATATTTTTAAACTACATTTAGTTTTAAATTACCCTAAATCTTGTAGATACTGATAGCAAGTGCTCATGCAAGTATTATTCAGCATACTGTGTCTTTACTTTAACTCGCTACCCATGCCATGGAACGAACCCATGCCAACTGGCAATTTGGCAATGCGTAAAATCTCTTCGGCCACCCTTTCGCTTTCAAAGACTTTTAGTGCCCTCAGATTTGGGGCTGAGAGAATGTGGCTAACTTTAGTTGGAAGAAAGACAAAGAACTTATTCTGTTCTTCTTACTCTTCAACCATGGTAGAAATTATTTCCACAATGTCTTCAAAGTGTTGCGGTCACTTCACTGGAAAGAGTAAACGGCTCCCTTTCGGCTTGTCACTTTGAGCATCTATTTTAATATCAGTTTATTGTCATTATAAAGAAATAATGTTTTATTACGTATGTATGTACTTGGCGCGACAGCCCGTGAACGGGCTCAGGCCTGTCGGCGCGGTCGCTGCCTCGCGACCGTGGAATGTGGTACATGTGGTTAGCACGTAGGCATGCCCACGCCTTATTCCGGTCTTCTCGACCTGAGAAGTGAATTTTCTCGTCACATAGCAACATCTACTGGGACATTGCAAGGAAAACGCACTCTATAATCTTGTTTCACTGGGAATCGAACCCGGGGCCGCGATTCTACGATACGACAAATATCTCAATTTTGGTGGTTATTATATGGAAAAATAGTGAAACATGAGACATATCTGCTAGAATAAAGTTTTCCCATGAAAATGCTTTTTTATTTTTTGTTGTTTTTTTATTACGACCTGGAGTAGGCATGTGAAGGTTGCGAGCATGGTAACAAGCTTACTAGAGCTCTTTTTAAGAGAAATAGTCTTCTCTTAAAAGCGATGTCCGTCCGTAAGCGAGAATTATTAACTTGTTAATTTATTAAGAACAGTTAATGTATTTCAAATTATTGCTAAATACAATACAGAACTGAACGACTTAAAAACACAATACGAAACGAAAATAAGGAAAGAAATTGCCATTCAAACATATTCCTGTCACTCGGCAAAGATGTTTATATAAGGGAGAATTTAATAAGAAAATAAACATGAAATAATAATAATAATAATAATAATAATAATAATAATAATAAGTAGTAGTAGTAGTGAAGCATGTGAACAATACAATTCCCGGTTATTTGATAGAAAAAAATCTGTCCCCTATATATTTTCGTAATGAAGCCATTATTCACCGTCTCGCACTGCTTCAGCCGGCACATGTACACCCGTTTCTGGATTTTAAGGGGAAATGAATGAGGAGTCAGGGAAAGTTGCCCGTGCCCGTAGGAGCGTCGGGTTCCTCAGGCG